ATGTCGAGGTAAATTTTTGGGGCCAGAGCTGGTCGTATCTCGAAAAATTCGTAAGGAGGGGTTGTTCGTAACTAGAGGTACCACTGTATATATTTTCTTAAGAGTACACTGCTCAGCTAAATAAATAAATAGGACTTCTAAGTAAACATGTACAGAATGATAATATAAACCAACAGCTAGCATAAACTGAAAATTTATCATTCATTTAGAAAGTACACTGCTGATCATAAATATCCAAGTTTAAACTATTAATTAGTTTAGAGATGCAATAAGGATTCCATTACTGAAACAATAACAAACTTCTTTTCTGTTTTACCAAGTTTAATTGCTCGATTGCCGATCAAGAACATTACTTTATTTATGGGAAAAATGGTACTTGGAGCAAATACTTACCCTTCCACCACTGCCAAGTTGTTGTCCATGATATAAGCCAAGCAAACTGCCAGTTCTTTTTTTATATGGCCTACCTGATCACCGTTCACATTGTTTACTTTTACAGCATTCTTATCATATGGATTATTAGGTTCTCGCTGGAGAGCCACCATTTCATTATTATTGACCTGCAAAATTAACATTTGCAATTAAACCATTCACAAAGGCCTGAGAAACTATTCTAAAACAAGTTTAACCAAAACAGTTTTACCTTTAAATAATGGATTCTATCCAAAAGGCCCTTCTCTTGGCCATTCTCTGTCAGCCAACTTAATTTGTGGGATCAAGCTCATCTTACTTCATGGGTTGATGGTACTGGGGAAGCAGTTTTAATTACTCAGGACTTATAGACTACTATAAGCATCTGAAGTGACAGCTGATTTTCTTGATATTACTTGCATGCTAAGATGGGAATTATCTGAACATTTTATCGGACAATTACTGATAATAAGCACACAAATTTGGTTCACACATTAACTATAGCTATAGCTTAATCACTATTGACTTTGCATGGCATACTGTATCATAAATTGCAAGCCATATTTGCTGCCTTCATACAATACACTAAACCCAAATCAAACAAATTATACCATAGCTTTGCATGGCCCATGAACTGATCCAGTGTTTCATGATATTAAGAACTCTAAAACATAGTAATTTTTACCTCTTAACAAGCTAGATCTTAGTATCACCAGTTCTCATCCTCCTGAACTTACCACACCAGTATAATACCGTAAACCAACTACGGTTCCTCGCAAAGTTCCAAATAATATAGCTGAATCTATATCCTCATCAGTCCCTGAAGTAACAATAGTTCCCATAAGATCTTCTATGCTGGGATAAAATTCACGGGTAAAAACATTGTAATGTCTGTCTCCATACAAAGCAGGATCCAATTCCCACGAGAAGTCTCTATAGAAAAAAAAAAGGGCAGGGTGAAAGATAAAACAAATTTTAAGTAGGAAGTTATTTTAGGTCTTCAATGTTTGAATTTGAGGACTTTTTAAAAGCAAGCACAATAACTTTGCTATCTTATTCATCAAACAGTCCATTACCAAGCAACCCCCCCCCAAATTAATCCTCATTATTAGATAATTAAATTAGTAATTAGAACATATCTTTCTTCTAGTGTCTCATCAGGTGGCTGGTGTTGCCTGGTTTTAGCAGCTAAGCAAAGTTAGGAGCCAGTTTGGAGTAGTGGTTAAGGCATCAGGCTAGAAACTGGGAGACCATGAATTCTAGTCCTGCCTAGGCACAAAGCCAGCTGCGTGACCCTGGGCCAGTCACTTTCTCTCAGTCCTAGGAAGGAGGCAACGGTAAACCACTGCTGAAAAACCTTGCCAAGAAAACTGTAGGGACCTGTCCAGGCACTCTCCAAGAATCGGTCACAATTGAATTTTTTTTTTTTAAAAAAAAGGCCGCATTTTTACTTTGATGGGAGACCACCAGGGACTTCCAGGCAAGAAGAGGAAGGATGGACGGATGGATGGATAGATGGATGGATGGACAGAGAGACAGACAGATGTTGTTGTTATTGTTATAGAAATTTTTAAGAGAATAAAAATAAAAATTTTGGGGAAAAAATAAAGAAAAGTAATAAGCGAAAAAAGGTGCAAAGAAAGAAAAAGAAAAGAAAACAAAGTTATAAAGAAAAAAAAACCTGCTGGGAAAAATAATGCATTGATCTGGAGTGATGATAACACTCAGGTATACATCTCCATCCAGCTGTGAGCATCTGGATGGGGAGAAAGAAGCTGAAGTTGAACCCAGGCAAAATGGAACTGCTGTTTGTCCGGAAACCATCTGCTTCTGTCTGCTTTGGTGCTAACTCTTCCAGACTCCCAGTGACGGCAAAATAGGCAGGTGGAGGCTGTGGCTGGGGGGAGCCAGCTTCAAAGCCCCAAGCGAAGCGAGAACGTCCAACAACAGTCATCCCCACCTTCCTGTTGTAATAATATGTTTAGCCATAATTTACTTATCAACCACAATGGGTGAGTTCACAAATCCGAAAAAAGCGAAACAGCCAAAAAGCAGAGCGCAAGAGCAAGAACACCGCTACTTCCAGAGTGGAACACGGCCCCCCAACCCCCGGCTTCGGTTCAAGGCCTCACCGGAGCCTCGTTCGCCACGGAAGAGCCAACCCGGACTAAAGGTTTCGCTTCGTTACATGCCTGGTAGCCCATCTCCGGATATCAGGCCCCATACCCACCTCAGGAACTTCCAAGCCATCACGGCAACCCGCGGCTCCGGCCGCCGCAGCCCCGATCGCCTCAACGCCGCCGCGACGGCAGACGAAGAGCGGCAAAAACCGCCCGCCACCTTAGCTGTGCCAGAGAGCATCTGCGCATCCTCATTGGCCGAACGCACGGCCGCAGCCTCCAATCGCCGAGATCTTCTCCAGATGTTTGAACCAATAAGGAACAAAGAGACAGTTCCCACAGTTCGACCTACATACGCCACTTCGCACTCGGGTTCTCTGATCTCCGTCTGCCACGCGTCTATTGGCTGCTTTAACGCTCATTAACGTACTGGGGACCAATGTGCTGTATGGACCTGGCCTATTGCTAATTAACAAATGAGCAGTTCGAATTTCTGATACAGCAGAGGAGGCGTGCAAACATTAAGTGCCCAAAGATATAAAAATGCATGTGTCTTGACTGTTCGTTTGTCACAGGACCCTTGGAAAGCCAGTTTGGTCTAGTGCTTAAGGCACCAGGCTAGAAAGCAGGAGACTGAGTTCTAGTCCCACCTTAGGCTTGAAAGCCGGCTGGGTGACTTTGGGCCAGTCACTCTCAGCCTGAAAAAGTGGACTCTGCATCTGCGGGAAAACGCTAGGAAGAAAAAAAAAAAACTATGACTCTCGGCGGCTTACAAAGTAAGGATAGGCAAGAACACTATAAACATCACGATTAAAATTCTGCTACACAAGGCGTCAGGCCCCATGTTTGTACAATCGTTTTATAATAATTATAAATAATATAGTATTTATTCCATATATATATATATAT